ATAATAAGTATTATATGCATATACGGTATACACGTGTATATATGTTATATATATTTACAACCTAATAACGACTATTATCTTATAGACATTGACAGAATCCCTTGTGACAAGGGAGGAGAACATCAAGCATCCAGCAGAGGAACATGATGCCACACCTGGTATCAAGATACTGACCGTTGATATTCCTTCCATTGGTCGTTTTAGCAGCTGGGATTGTGCTGGTCACTGTGAGTACCATGTGACACATACCATGTTCCTGGGCTCGCGCAATTCAATCTTTCTTGTCAATTACGATATCACTTTGAAGAATTGTTATAAACGGGTATGTATTGAAAATACAGATTTTTTTTGTGATTTCAAAACAGCTATGTGTCCATTGTGCGAAATACTGCTGTATATTTTTATGTGTTAAACACATAAAAAAAACATGTACAACATCTTTCATAATGAATAATTGTAAATTTCAATGATGATAGACTTTAGAGACTTTGTAAAACATATACTGTAGAAGCATTATTTTATTGCATACCTTAATTAAAATTAATAACTTACAAAATAAACAGATCTAAATTTAATTTTATTTTTCAAGTTAATTTGCTTTTGTATTTAATAGAGACACTATATCCATTTTATAATTGTTATAATGTTTTTTTCATTTATTTATTTCAGGTTCTGTATTGGTTGAATTTAATTAAGGCAAGCCGGGCTCCAAACTACACAAGTGACCACATGGACCAATCGTATGTTATCTTGGTTGCTACGCATGTTGATTTAGTTGAGAACAAGCTGCAAGGTATCAAATATTATGGCATTCATTTTTAAAGTAGTTTTATTCTTAATATTAAAGTATTGCTTTAGCTTGGTAGTTAACATGTTATAATCATAGGGTAGAGGGTTCAAAATTTTGAGATGTCAGGTTTATTCTCACAGTCCATAAACGTATGAGAGTTATACTCAATTTATGTGTGAAAAAATGTTACACACATCCTGATTTAGAGAAAATTTCATTGCATACTACATTGCGTCCGTGTAAATCTGTGGAAGAAGCATGCATCCTATGTAATAAACAGGTAAGAAAAATGGACATCGCAGAGGGCAGTATAACACTCATGTGATTTTTAGCATGGATCTATATACATAATGCTCACAGAGCGCAGTTTATCTTTTACTGTGAAGTCGCACATTTGTTCACTGTCCAATTGTACCAACATTTATCAAGCTTTCGGTTACTCGTGTGGAGACAATCAAATTTTGGTAAGTATATCTTGGGAAGTTTTTGTAAAATTTATGATGCGTCTCTGTAAAATTTTGTCTGGAGGGAATCAGGTATTAGCTCATCCAATATTGGCAAATGTATTAGCTAGTTGTTGGATGTGAAAGAAATAAATGAAAATAAATTATGTTAAGAACAGTTCCTATTGTTACTGTCTGTAACACTTCCTTTGACTTAATTTCTGAAATATTATTTATTACAGCTTATGAGTCTGCTGCCCTCATTCATCAAGAAATGATGTCATTATTCAAAGATCACATGAATATAGTCGATGAAGTGATTCTGTTGAATTCTCACAAATCTCGAGAAAAGTCAACAAGGAAACTACGTGAAATAATTGAGCAATGCTCAGACTGTATTAAGGTATTATCATATTTATTAAGATTTGTTAAGATTAAAGGAATGAGAATTAAAAGTGGAAATTAAAGATCAATAAGATTTAGACAAAACATTATCATTCTCTGTTATCCTATAATTAAACATACACAGTTCAATAAATATGCTGTTATAATTCAACTTTTCGATTAAAAGATATCTACTTTATTTTTACTATTCCCATATCTCTCATTATCTGTGTATTTTCGGATCTATCATATATTTTTGAAAGTCTTCTCTTTTTGTGTCATGTTAAAATATTTTTTCAAAGCAAATAAATCTTTATCATTACATTATACAGTACATTAGATGCATATCTTTGCCGTTGTTGAAATTAATATTTTTTCTCATTTTATGTTTTCTTTTACAAAAGAAAAGCAAACGTCTACCAAAACTTTGCTCTCAGATGATCAAAAGAAAGAAGAATTGGGCTAGTGAGAATTACCCTATCCTAACATGGTCTGCATACAAGCATAATGTGCGAGAAATAGATCCACGAGTTGAAGATAGCTTCCTGCAGAAGGCTACTGAATTCCTGGTAGATTGTGGAGAGGTAAGTAATTAACTAGTTTGATGAAACTACAGCAGGTAAATGTAGGAGAATTGCGTATGGGCATGATCCGTGACTACCAAACTGCCGTAAAGAGGTGCTTAAGGTAGTTTCATGTTCACATTTGACAACCATAGGTTTTCCACACTTCCTCTGAATCTGAAAACTGACCCATTTGTCACGAATTCAGAAAGTTTGTATGTACTGTATAAAGAAGTGGTATCTTCTATCCTAAATAAACAGCGGATTGAACAGTTAATTTAATGTGAATGATGATGGTAAATATAGAATTAAATATATATTTTTATTAGACATTGTATTACAAATAATATAACTATTTTAAAAAACTCATATACAGGTATAATCAATTTATAAT